AGCCAGGCTCCCTGCCTGCTCCACCCCTGCGCACACCACTCAGAAAAATGGCTGCAGGGCGATGTTTGTCTTTGAACTGCTATGAGTTCCGGGGGCAGGGCAGAGGAGCTTTGCGCACTGCCCCCGCCCCCAGCATGGTTCCATTGGCTGGATTCTGGCCAATGGGAGCTGTCTGTTTAAAGAACAGGCAGCTTGTAAAGTACCCCTCCCCTTCCAGACCCACATGGCCCCTGCCATGGCTGGGCAGGCAGGCAGCCTGCCTGAGAAATATGCTGGGCTGCTAGCCAGGAGTCACTCAGGTAAGGCTCCCTCTGGCACCCCCGACCATCCCTCTTCCCCAACCCTCTGCTTCCCTACCCCACATAACCCAAACCCTTTTCCCCCTCTCTCCTGCACCCATCCCCCTCCCAAACTCTGCCCCTAATCTCCTTCCCCAGGTCACAACCCCTTTCTGGCCTAGGTCACAACCCAAACCTCAACCCTCTCTCAGACCCTATACCCCAGTATCCTGCCCTAGGTCACAATCCAAATTTCTGCACCCCTCCTGCACCTCCATCTGCTGCCCTAGGTCACAACCCCCTCCTTTACCCAAACTCCCTCACAGACCCCACACCCCCTCCTGCATCGCAATCCCTTACTGCAAGCTCCCTTCTTCACCCAAGCTCCGTCCCAGACCCCACAGCCTCTCCATTAATATCATGGAAGAGAGTGGCCCTTGACCACTTCCAGAGTTCTTGGAGTCCCTCCCCATCAAAAATGACTGCCCCCTCTAACCATTAAGGGTGGGGTTGGTATTTTTTTCTTAAAACAAACCAGTTTTTTCAGAATTGTAATAGTCTTTGTAAACATTTAACCCTTTTATTTCCTTGTAGCTGGAGTTTGTCGGTAAATCCGGGGATAGTGGTGGGGGCATGTACGTCATCAGTATCCTTTACTGAGAAATCTACTCTGGGCAGTATAGGGCTGGTCTTGGGGCTTACGTGGCATTGTACAACCCTGGTCATTCATGTGTGGTACCTTGACGTGCACTGCTCAGATCTCCACAAGGCCCTTGCATCTTTGGCAACAGCAACGCTGGAATCCATCGTCCAGGAGAGGTAAAGCAGCTGTTTGACTGCAGCTTGTGAGTGTGTTCCCTGTAAGCTGGGCGCTTGTGTCACTGCTCAGGAGAGATTCTGATGCTGCCCAGCTGATAAGCAAATTACCCACAGCTTGGTTTGTGTTTCTGCTGGTGGTGCACATTCACACATGCCTCAGTGCACATAAAAATTCATCTGCACATGGATGGAAAAGATGAGAGGGAACATTGTTTGTTAATCCTCGTGTTACTCTGTCCAAGGCATAGCTATGAGAAACTCATGGGTGATATAATATCAATATTTGCTGGCCCATTAAAAGAGACTGTGTCTCCTGCCTGGTCTGTCCATACAGCTACAGTGACAAAGTTTCAGCTCAGCCGTTGGAGTATCCTCCACAATCTCCGTCCTTTCGTTTAAGAGGAAGGATCCAGTCTTGAGAGGTGCTGAGCTCCCATCAGTTTTGGTAACTGATCTATCTCAGGATCGGGTCCCGCCTCATCCAGCTGTATGTTGACAATATTTATGATTCGAGGCTCTCTCTGTCCCACCATTAAATAAATAGGAAGGTGACATTTGTTGAGATGAGATACTCCAGCCGGCTCACTCTTTAGCCTGGCTCTCATGAATTAGGGAAAGGAACGCTGCTTTAGTGACAGCTGCGTCATTCACCCACAGACACATTTTATTTCCATGTGTGCATTTCTAAAGCATTGGTTACTGGTCCAGACACTGGATACGGGACCCAAAGGACCAGTGGTCTGATCTGGTTTGAGCCTGTGGCTCCGAAGTCGGGATTTCATTCCATCTCCACCACACAAGATGCTTTTTTCTCTGAAGTATTAATGTAGGAACTTTCTTAACTCTCCGATGACCATGTGTGGATGTGGCTATCCTTCCCCAGAGCTGTGTGTGAGCTGCTGTGTTGCTGCCCCATCTAGATTTGGTTCCCGCTGCGCCAGGATCTTCCGTCTGGTTCTGCGGAAGAAACATTTGGAACAGAAACAAGTGGAAGATTTTGCCATGATTCCTGCCAAGGAGGCAAAGGACATACTGTATAAAATGCTCTCCGAGAACTTTGTGTCTCTGCAGGTGAGAATCCCTGTCACCCAGAGGTGAGCAGAGTGTGTCGCAAACAGGGTGTACAGAATATGGAGATGAATGCAGATGCAGGAAGGTGGTTTGGTTAGTGCAAAGAGATGGAATTCTGGGTTCCAAACCCTTCAGAGCAGGGGCTGAGAGCCAGAAAGCTTGGCTTCCATTCTGAACTCAAGGGTGGGAGTGTGGGCTAGTAGTTAGAGAGCAGTGGGGTGGGATCTTAGTTTCCATTCATCTCAAAAAAGATAAACTGGCATCTAGTAGTTAGAGAGCAGTGGGGTGAAATTTTAGTTTCCATTCATCTCAAAAAAGATAAACTGGCATTAGAAAAAGTTCAGAAAAGGACAACTAAAATGGTTAGGGGTTTGGAATGGGTCCATATGAGGAGAGATTAAAGAGACTGGGACTTTACAGGTTGGCAAAGAGGAGACTAGGGGGATAAGATAGAGGTCTATAAAGTCATGAGTAGTGTGGGGAAAGTGAATAAGGAAAAGTTATTTACTTGATCCCATAATATAAGAACTAGGGGTCACCAAATAAAACTAATGGGCAGCAGGTTTAATACATAAATAATAAATAAAAGGAAGTTCTTCTTCACACAGCGCATTGTCAATCTGTGGAACTCCTTGCCTGAGGAGGATGTGAAGGCTAGGAGTTCTCCCATGACCATCAGATCCCCCTAATAATAGTAACGTGCGATATGTGTCGCTCGACAGCTTCCAAGCACAGGTCCTCAGTGCTACCACCAGCGATCTGGGCAGGTGTCCTTCCCTGCGTTTTGCAGCTGGGGAAACCAAGGCCTCTAAAGGTGCACTGACTTTCCCAGAATCATTGGCAAGTTATTAATTGCTAGGGGCTCAGGTGGGCTGGCGTACACACCTGCTGTCTCTGCTAAGAATGATGACTGTGTGGTCCCCAGGGGAAGCTAGAACGAAGCACGCAGAGAGAACAGACAGACACCTTCCACCCAGAGGCCATAAAACACACCTCACGCTGCTTCTCTCTTCTTTCCTGCATGCAAACAGGAGATTCCGAAGACTCCAGACCATGCGCCTTCCAGGACGTTCTATCTGTACACGGTGAACACTCTGTCCTCTGCGCGGATGCTACTGCACAGGTGTTATAAGGTACCCCATGATTCCTTGGCCAACCAAATGACACTGGCGCTAGTGCAAATCACACTGTTCTTCACACCCCTTCTGTTCCTTAGGTTTATTCCCACTCCTGGCCTGCTCTCTGATTCGATGTTGCAACAGCAGTTGGGCACAGCGAAGCTAAGACCTTATTTATACTTACCTGGAGATCAGTGCTCTGGAGATCCATCTCATGGAGTTTGATTTAGCAGATCTAGTAAGGACCTGCCAAATCAAACGCTGATGGTGCCCCTGTCAACCCTGCGAGGAGTAGGAGAAGTCTACAGGGGAGTTTCTCCCCTCAACTTCCCATAATGGGGACACTGGAGAAATGTTATTTAAAGCTACATGAGCTTAAATTGCATTTCTCCCCCAGTGTAGACCTGGTCTAAGTTGGACTGTCAGAGACCCTACAACAGTGGTCCCCAGTGTGGTGCCCGCGGGTGCCATGGCGCCCGCTGGGCCATTTCTGTGCACCTGCCAAGTGACCGGGGCCAGCCCCCCCCCCAGGCGCGTGGCGCA